TATTTAATAAAATAAATTTTTAAATTTTAAATTAAATTTTAATTAAATAAATAACGTAATTTAAGGTTATAATTTTAATTCTTTGAGAGTTGGATTGGTATGCTTGTTTTCCTTATTTTAGATATTTAATTTAATTTGATATTTAAAATTAAAATTAAGAACTATAATTAATTAAAATTTTAAATTTAAAAAATTGATTTTAATCATATAACTTTAAGTTAACCCAAATTGATCTGATCTAACACAGTCATTTTTGGATGATTTTGATCTAAATCGTATCAAATTTTGTATCAATACCTTAGTCCAATAACCTAATAACTGTTACCTTCCATTCGATCTTTATATACTTTAATTTTGTCAAGGCTAAATGTTGGAAACAGGTTCGGCTCTCTGTTTGGGATTTATTTTTATTTTTATTTTATTTTATTTTATTTTTTTGTGCCCGATGGATGTGGAGGCCCATAAAACCCAACCTCAGCTGTGACGAAGGCTCTTGTAACGGTGGCATTGTCCTTGAAGGGAAACCTTGAAGATGGAAACTTTGAAATAATACCTCAGGGGTGGATCTCATCGTTGGTGCCGCCAACATCAATGACAATGAGGCCATGCAACGGAACTTGAGCAACCAATGGTCAAAACTGGCCTCTTACCAAAAACATTGGCTTTTTTATTTTTCAACGGGAAGATTTCACACCACTTCGCTCGTCAAGGATTATTTATCTCAAAAGTATTGACCCTAGCTACCTGAATTTAGTATTTTTATTTAATTCTTGGGTTTTCACCCGGTGGAGCTTTTAGTTTCTGTGGTTATGGTATCTTTGCTCCTCTTTCTTGTTGATGGGTATGCCTGGATTACGGTTTCAAAGTTTATGAGTACAGAAATTTTTATTTTTGGAAAAGGAAATAGAAATCATCATGGTATTGTTGCTTATACTTGCAATTTTGGTTGTCTTTAGTTTCATGTTTTGACAGAACTTTCTTTTTTTCTTTTTGTAATGTCATTTTGGAATGTAATGAATGGGTGAACTATGATGATTTAGATACATGCCACTAATGGAGCTTGGCGCTCTGAGTGGTATGCTGGACGTTTAAAAGAAAGCTTCTTAGAAGTTGTTTAAACAAGAAGTAGATAACAAGTTGTCGAGTTCCCTTTAAATTATTGCTTTTATCATCTAGTGATAACAAAGGACTGACCTTGCTATGGCCTACATTTTCATTTTACATGCCCATTTAGATGGAGCTCATTGGGATTTCGACAAAGCAAAATGATAGTTAATTAACAAGCTTGGCCTAAGCACTTGTATGGAAGGTCAACAACTATAATTAAAGTGAAAATCTTATCTCAGAGCTAACAAATACTTACTTGAATCTTGTTCCAGGAGCTTCATGGCAGCAAACTTTTATCATCTTACAAGGATATGGTATGCATGTTTTTCTGAAGCTCCACACAAAAGTTTGTTCTTTATTTCTTTTAGTCACAATGTAGCCTTTAAATAATAACCACAAGCTAGATCCACCGGAAAAACTTATGTAAGGAGAACAATAACTACATGGGTGAATATTTATGCAAATTCACCCTTGTTATTTATATACCATAATCTTTAGTCATTTATCATTTTGTGTTTATTGGTTGTATGATTCTTTTGCTCAGAGTCATTTGGTTTAATTTTATATTCTTTGTTTATTATATTCTCTTTAGGTAACTATTATTAAACATATGGTTGATGCCGGAAGATCCATGAGATGCTTTCTTAGAGGGACTAGCAACAATCCACATGTACAATTTTCTAAATTTTCTGATGATAATAATGATGCTGGCGATCGTGGTGGGATCCCAGTTTTTTCATTTTGGTTAATCTCTTCCTTCGGTATATCATATTTGCAATTCCTTGACCTTGCATTCACTGTTATTGAGTTCCTTCCAGTGAATCTATGTTTAATTTCATTTATAAAAGATATTTTTGTATTCATCAACCTGAAATATATAATTTAAAAATGGCTTAATTCAATTTTTAGTCTATTAACTATCAACTTGATTTCATTTTAATCTAAAAAGTTTAGTTTCTTTCTAAATGGTCTATAAACTTTGGAAATATTTCAAAATAATCTAGCAGTACAAAATTTCATTAGATTTAACCAAAAGAGTAGTCCTTTAAGTTTTGAAAAAGTGACACTATAATCCTAATAAAATATGATGACTCAAGACATATTTTATAGAGATAGATTAGTTAAAATTTGTAATAAACGTGAGCAACTAATCTGTTTTATAAGATAGATTGTATGTAGTTTGTCCTAAAAAATTATTTAAATGTTCTTAAAAGATAATATAAAAATAAAATTAAGGGCATTTAAATAATTTTATAGAACAGACTGCATATAGTCTGCTCTGTAAAACAGTTTTCTGAAGAACACATTTAGTAAGATAAGATTAAAAACTATTTTTACGGTGAATATAAATTTAAGGACTAAAAGATCAAAAGAAATATAGTTAGAGGACTAAACATGTTGTTAAAGAATAAGAAGATTCCGTTAAAGATAATGGATATTTTGGTTAAATATAATGGACTAGATGAAATTGATATAAATGTGAAAGTTAATAGACAGGATTGAAAGAATTCAAAGATAATAGATGAAGCTGAAAAAAATATGAAAGTTAATAGATGATTTGTTAAATTAACCCATTTAAAAATCATGGCTTTATCTTTTTAGTTGAGAGCTTGCCCTTTGAAGATTCAATAGTCATTGATATTATTATGAAAATTTTGTCAAATCATGTCAAATAGATTTATTTTATTGATATCGAAGTGAAACTTAACATAAAATTATATGTAAAGACATTATTATGTCATGTTTAAAATTGTGAAGTTTTGTCTTTAATGATCTTAGAAAAATTGGTCGAGGAGCTTGTTCAGATGTTCAAGTTGGAATTAAGTTTGAAGATATTGCCTAGACCTTTTTACTTTGTTACAACACTTATATTAAATTTTGACATTTTGGTTCAATATCCTTATCAATAGTTCTTAGCAACGTTTAGTTTATGTAGCGATTGCTTGTAGTAGAGTTACTGTCCATTAGTTATAAAGTTCGACAAGTCAATGAGGTTTGTTAATCAAACGAGCTTTGTTAATCAAACGAGCTTTATCCAGGAGAATTCAAGGATTTGGTTATATGCAACTTGTATTTTGAAGATAATTCTATGCTAGTCCATCCACAATTGAAGGACTGCAAAACTGACATCTTGGCTTTACTATGTAACTGTTAGCCAAACCACAAAACTTTGCAAATATCTCTTTCATCACCATAATCAATGAGTTGGAAATCTTTGATCTAATATAAACCTATAACTTTTGCATATAAATATATTTCTAAAGGAGTAGAATGTAGGTTTATTGATTTCATGGTGCAGTGTTTATAATATACAGCAAAATGAAGGTTGTAACTCTTCCTATAACATATAAAGCAAAAATTGAGTGTGCTTTTTGTTGTAGGTGTTATCTCACAAATTGGCTTGTAGAGGTGAACATAGATTCTCATAGGTATGAAATAGATACATAAGTATAAACACCAACATGGAACACATGACATATGTATAATTCTTAAATTAGACCTCCATGATTCATCCAACTAATGAATTGTCCTTTCATGTTAAGTACTTATATGGTAGATGAAATATTTGCAATAATTAGGGAGGAAATACCTTCTCATAAAGCATTTGCTTAGTTGAAAGACCCCAAACTCTAATTAGATGCATGAAGTGGTTCACTTTTCTCATATAGCAATTCAACTCAACATGTGAACTTTGAGTTATCTACACATGGATATGTCCCTTTACCAACCATAAGTGAATACGCTAATGGGTTGCCATGGCAATTTGCTCTTTACATATCCATCAGAATTAAGGCAATTACAGAGACGCAGTCGATTGTAGTTTCAATTCTTACTCTATTATAGTGCATGAATTAATTGGAGGTTACTATGTTGATAAAAAAAAGAATGTTACTGTAAATTTACATTCAAGAGTTTCATTGCTCAGGTTCACGGCAGTAGCATGAGGCCTTATTCTTCTTCTTCTTCTTGTTGCAGTTTCAATTCTTACTCTGTTATAGTGCATGAATTAATTGGAGGTTACTATGTTGATAAAAAAAAGAATGTTACTGTAAATTTACATTCAAGAGTTTCATTGGTCAGGTTCACGGTAGTAGCATGAGGCCTTCTTCTTCTTCTTCTTCTTCTTCTTCTTCTTCTCCTTCTTCTTCTTCTTCTCCTTCTTCTGCTTCTCCTTCTTCTCCTTCTTCTTCTTCTTCTTTTTCTTCTTCTCCTTCTTCTTCTTCTCCTTCTTCTTCTTCTCCTTCTTCTTCTTCTCCTTCTTCTTCTTCTCCTTCTTCTTCTTCTTCTCCTTCTTCTTCTTCTTCTTCTTCTTCTTTTCACAGAAGTCATTCTCAAATGTATGATTTGAAATTTTTTGCTTCTCTTCTTATTCTTTTTTTCTCTTCTTCTTCTCTTCTTATTCTTTTTTTCACAGAAGTCATCCTCCTCTTCTTCTTTTTTTCACAAAATTCATCCTCAAATGTATGATTTGAAATTTTTTGCTTCTCTTCTTATTCTTTTTTTCACAAAGTCATCCTCAAATTCTTCTTTTTTTCAGAGAAGTCATCCTCAAATGTATGATTTGAAATTTTTTGCTTCTCTTCTTATTCTTTTTTTCTCTTCTTCTTCTCTTCTTATTCTTTTTTTCACAGAAGTCATCCTCAAATGTATGATTTGAAATTTTTTGCTTCTCTTCTTATTCTTTTTTTCACATAAGTCATCCTCAAATGTATGATTTGAAATTTTTTGCCCTCACAATGTTGCCTTTCTCATCATCTTTCTCTTCCTTGCTTGTTCTTCAAGTTGTGTTAGCCTACATGTTTAGCATATAGATTTCTTTTCTTTCTCCCGCTACGTCTTTTGCATTGTCTCTTCTTCTCTTCTTCTTCTTTGCACAAAAGTCATCCTCAAATGTATGATTTGAAATTTTTTGCCCTCATAATGTTGCCTTTCTCATCATCTTTCTCTTCCCTGCTTGTTCTTCAAGTTGTGTTAGCCTACATGTTTAGCATATAGATTTCTTTTCTTTCTCTCACTACGTCTTTTGCATTGTCAAATAAAGTTTTAGGTTGTTCAATTTAAGCAAGTGTTTATATTTTTTGTTATGTACTTCCATGATTTTTTTTTTTTGAATTGCATAATATGAAACAACCTCACTAATTTCTTAATCCACCATCTTTGCATGTCATACAACAATAGATCTCTTTCAAAAAGAAGAGAGTATTACTCAACCACTTAAGTCATTGGCTTGTTATTGTTAAAATTAGTTCTAAGCGTAAAAATTGTGTTTACACATAGAGTCCTTTGTTTTACAATATAGACTGTAAAACAAGGACTCTTAGATAAGAAGGAGGCCTCCAACATTAAAGGTTTGTCTTTCATCCAATGATTTATGTTTTGTAGTTTGGTACAATTTAGATTGCAAAAAATTTTGATACTTTATGAAAAATCACATCAAGTAATTAAAAAATGTGCACTTAAACTTGTTTGCCAAGTCATTTATTTGCACTCTCAATATTATTGTTTTTCATGGCCTTTTTTATTCTATTTGATGGCAAATTCTTGGTTGCTTTTACCACGGTTGGGTGTTATGAACAATAAACAAAGTTTATGAACTCACTAAACCCAAAGCTTATCTCACTATGTTTTTCTCTTATGTCCTCTTGCTCTAACTAGCATTTGTCTTTACAAGAATTTGACCTCTTGAAACGGTCTATGAAAAAGATCAAGAAAAGTGATCATTCTCTAATCTTAGAGGATTTTCAAATGATAGAGATTTAGCAACAAGTGTTATCTTACAAGAACTTGGTGATTCAACATGAACTTGATGAGATCAACTATGATTTAATGGTTAATTTAGAGATGTTAGATGAGGATTCTAATATTGAAGATGATAGATCCATACCTACCATTTTAATTTCTAAGGAAGAGAAGAATTGTATCTGTACTTCATGGATTAACTTGATCATCATAAAGGCTTTTAGGACTCAATCAGTAAGGAATAACTTCATTTTGCCTAGAATCTAGGCTTAATGGAAGCCAAGGGTAGAATGGATTGTTTTGATTTGGGGTTGGATTCTTTTTGAATTGATTCCAAGAAAGGGATAACTTGCTTAGGGTCATTAATGTGGCTCTTAGTTTGTTGGATTCCATTATCTAACAATTTGCCAATAGGAACTAGCCTTTAACTAAGATAATGTGGCCTTTACTACCACTACAATCTAGGTTAGACTACCTTGGCTTCCCATCGAGTATTATGATGCAAAGATTTTATAAAGAACTGGTAGGTGGTTAGGCACTCCTTTTAGAATTGATGCATATACTGCACATCAAATTAGGGGGCAGTATGCAAGAATTTGTATTCAAGATGCTTTGGATTCTCCTTTGATCAAGATTGGTAAACATGTTCAGAAGGTCCTTTATGAGGGTTTTACTGCACTTTATTTTTCATGTGATGGTGTGGGACATAAAGAAGTCTTTTATCCTTTAAAAGTTTTTCTTGGAAATAATATCATGGAGGAAAATAATTAGAATTAGGATGTTACTCATCCTCGTACATTTGGGTGATGGATGTTGGCTGAAAGGAGGAAGAACAAAAAAAAAAAAAAAAAAAGGCACAAAAAGCTCCAAGGCCATTGGTCAATTGGAGAAACAAAGTAAAATTCTAGGAAGCAATTCAATGAGTCAACTTGTTTGGCCTAAGAATGGGACTAAGATTGCAAGTTCTAGGTCTATTGGCACTATAGACAATATTAAATAAGGTATTTGTTACTCATAACGGAGCTTCAAATAATGCTTCCTCTACAATCTAACAAATCAAGATTTAGCCTTAGCAAGAAAATGTATAGGTAAGCCCAATTAAATCCCAACAAAGGGATACTAATTTGGGGTGTTCGTTTGCATAGGATAGTCCTAGGCCTTATCAAGATATGGCTCTTGCTAAAGATAATAATAAGGGCAATCTTCATTCGACATGTAGCAAGTTAGGTAACAAAAACTCCAAATCTTTCTTTGCAGATCACCATTATGTCTAGAAACTTTAATCAACGTCTTCTTCCTCCCTTAAAAGTTCTGGTGATGGATTCAATTTCACTTGAAAAGTTGAGCCAAGTTTGGGATATATTTCTAGTCAACAAAAATAAGCAAATCTTACCATTAAAGAAAGACTTGTCTATCCTATTAGAAAGGGACCCAAATGTAATGTAAAGATAGGATCAAGACATAGTTGCCAGGAAATGGATCTTGCTTAGTGGTCCAAAAGGGGATTGACCTTCTCCCTTGCCTACCCCCTTTATCCAATTGGTTTTTTATCGCTAGCACTTTAAGGTCGAAACATGTGTCTAACCTCTTAAGCTTGGCAGAACTTGACAGGGGAGATTACAGGATAGAATTTTTGGAAGGAGCAAATTTCTTGACAAATCTCACTCATCTTGATAGCTAATTAGTTTCTTAATAAGGTGTCCATGATGAGATGCATGAAGATGCTTCACTTGATTATCGAGTGGAAAGAGATTCCATGCTCTATGGGGACACGCAACAACCAAATGCTTCTCTTTTACTACTTTCCAAAAGTCAGTATAATGATCAAGAATCAAGTGGGAAACTTAGTTCAGTAGCTTCAGGAACTAAGGAGGTGGGTCATGAACTCCTTTAGTACTATAGCTTGGTCAAAGAAGATCATTTTGTGAAATTGTCAAAGTCTGGTGAGCTCTTAAGTTAGAAGAATTGTTATGGAGATTATCTATAAACACAATTCTAATATTTTTATAATACTGGAGATGAAATTGGTGGAAATTAAAGCTAAAATAGCAACTCATACCTTAAGGTACTCTAAAATGGAAATTGTCGATACTGATGGTTTTATTAGAGCAATCTAGCTAATGTGGGATAACTCACATTATATAGTAAACATTCTCATAACGGACCACAAGTTATTCATGTGATGATAAAGGTAAAACTTCCTAATTTTTTGTTATTTTTATTGGTATATTTTAGCTGTTTATAATACGTTGTAATTTGAAATTAAATCTTTATTTTGGGAAATTTTGATCAAATTTTGTCAAACTATTGATGGACCTTGGCTGGCTATTAGTAACTCAATAATGTTATTAGTTAGACTAAGAAGTTTGGTTGTGGTCAAGTCCCTTTGTATTGGATTGAAGCTTATTTTGATTGTATGACTGCTTGTGGTCTTATGGATTTGGGGTTTAATGGTCCCAAGTTTACTTGGGTTAACATGTGAGATTCTAATATTATTAAAGAAAGGTTGGATAGAACCTGGTGTAATCTCTCTTAGAGGATTAAATTTCTTGAGGCTTTTATTTATCACTTGCCTAGACTTTCTTCTGATCATTGTCTTATTATACTCAATCTTAATGCCATTCACCCTTCCTTAGGTAATAAACCTTTTAGGTTGGACAAATTTTGGATGGAACATGTCTCTTGTCATGATTTGGTGATTGATAATAATCATTCCTTCTTAGATTGCTTTACTCATTTTAAAAATTTTGTTCATTCTTAGAGTAAGGTCGTCTTTGATGATTTTCGTAAAAAGAAAGGGATCATTGCATGGATTTTTGGCATCAAATGTTATCTCTAATAAAAATAAAAAAAAACTAGTTCTTTTCTCCTTAATTTGAAAAAGGAACTTACTTGAGATTACCAATATATTCTTAAATGTGAAAAAGATATACGGTTTCTTAATTCTCGTTTAGAATGGGTCAAGGAAGCTGATAAGAACTCTAGATTCTTTCATATCTCCATGCTTAAATAGAGGTCTTGTAACAAAATTTTAGACCTTAAAAGATTCTTTTGGAAACTAGAGCAATGACTCTACTAGTATTGGTACTATTGTTTTGTTTCACTTTAAACATTGTGATCCATCTTCTCATACACACTTTTTTCATGATTCCTTTACCATTATTTATAGAGGGCCTACCATTAGTTGTTCTAATTAGGATGCTTTTATTTCTAAGATTTTGTCTACTAATAATTCCATGAAACCATGGAAAGCTCCTAGCTATGATGAATTACATGTTGCTTTTTTCTAGAAAATTTTGGATTTTATTAGCTCTAAAGTTGGTCATAAAATTAGGAATGTTTTTTCTTCTAATGTTATTCATAAGGGTTAGAGTCAAAGCTTGATTGCTATAATTCCCAAAGTGCAAAACCTTGAAAATATTATACAATTTAGGCCTATTGGTTTCTGCAATGTGATTTATAACAATGTTAAAAAAATTCTCATCTTGAAACTAAAAGGTCTTATTAGAGACCTTATTTCTCCTCTTCAATCCAACTTAATTCCTAGAAGGAAGGAGGTGGATAATGTGTCTAGTTTTAGTCAAATAGTTTATTCCTTTTACAAGTGAAAAGGGAAAGAAGGTGACATGATTGTCAAGCTTGGAGAAAGCATATGATCGTCTAGACTAAGGGTTTGTTTGTGAAGCACTCACCTTTTTCTACTTTCCTCCAACAATGATTTCTATCATTATGTCTTGCATTTCTTCTTTCGAAATTGCAGTTGTTATTAGTGGGGGGGGGGGTTTTATTGATTATTTTTAGCTTTCAAAAGGCCTTTGGTAAGGTGATCCTCTTTTTTCATATCTATTAAGTATCATTCTCTAAAACCTCATGAGGATAAGGGTTCTTATGGTTAGGAGGGATCAAAATTGGGTAAGAGTGATCCTATTGTACTCCTTTTTTTTTTTTATTGATGATTTAGTTTTTATTGGCAAAGCAACAATAGCTAATCCTATATTTCTTGAAGACCTTTTTAAATTTTATTGTTTCAAATCTAGTCAAAGTGTGAACCTTTTAAAGTCTATGATTCTCTTTTCCACTAATACTTTTCCTTATATGAGGAGAGATATTTGGGGGAAACTTAGCCTTGTAAAAACTCAGTCTTTGAGAAAGTACTTAGAGTGAAACATAGTCTTTGAGAAGCACTTAAGAGTTTTTGATTACTCCCAAGAGGGTTTCTAAGATTGATTGCAATTTCATTGTGGATAAAGTTCATAGTAAGTTGGTTTGGGTGGAAAGTCAACATGTTATCTCTTGTGAAAAGAACCACTCTTGT